TTTTGTGTTTTGTATTCATTATCACACCAAAATAGGGTGGATCTGGAGCTGGGGTTGGCAATTTTGTAGAAATTGGGCCATTGGACGTATGTTTGAAGCCCAGAAACTCAACATGGCTGAAAAAAGCAGATTTATTGTTTGTGGTAATTAATAATGGCCCTATCCATTAATTATTAACAAATTATAATATATTTATGAGAAATGCTAAGGTTCCGTTACGCAACTATTCCGTCGGGGTTTATAACCGTTAGATCATCATATAACCAATCAGAGATAGTTGATCCAACGGTTACAAATCCCGACGGGATGGTTCCGTAACGGGGACCGTAGCATCTTCCTATATTTTGATATATATATAATGTTTCTATTATGTGGATTTTGGTTTTATAGGATAACCCAGTTGGGACAGGATATAGTTACGTGGAGGATCCAAAATTACTTGTGAAAACTGATGATGAGAATGCTGCTGACTTAACTACACTTTTGATTCAAGTTTTCAACACTGCTAAAGATGAAAATATGCAAAACAGGCCTCTTTATATAGTGGGAGAGTCTTATGGAGGAAAATTTGCGGTGACTCTTGCTTTATCAGCTCTAAAAGCAATAAAGAAGGGAACATTAAAGCTAAAGTTAAGAGGTACGTAATTCAACAACATATATACATTACTTTATCAAATAATCTCTCCTCCTATGTAAATGCATATTTTTCTAAATATGTGTTAACTTTCTCCCTATTTATAATAAAAGAGTTTTCTACACTTTTTATTTTCTTTAATTAAAAGATGATTAATAGTGGTTCCCTATATATAAATGAAGGAGGATCATAAATGAAGAGTTCTCTTAAATGAAGAGCATTTCTCATAAATGAAGAGTTCTCTTAATTTTTTTTTTCTTTTTTTTTNNNNTTTTTTTTTTTTTTTTTTTTTTTTTTTCTAAGGAGGATCAATAGTGTTTCTTTACTTACCTTCTATATGACTCTAACATCAAACTTATTGGTATCAAGTAATGTTACCAACTGAACTAAACTTATGAGTCAACTTCTAGCTATTCATAATTTTGTGCTTTGATTTTTTTTTTATATAATAATCCTGCATGTCAGCTTTCGGTTATTAGGAGTAATCCATATAGATCTAACTCGTATACATATCTCTTATAACGTTTAAAATTATAAAACATTATGTATTAAAAGTTATTACTTTGATATTTTTATGTAATTTTCACGTAGATATTCAAATTAATCATCTCTGAGAAAGTTTTGATTTGGCATCTATATTACATATGTAAACAAATATATATTTTCCTTTATAATAAAAATTAAATATCAATACCAATTAAAAGATTCATTTCACCCGGGCTCCTTCAACATAGACAACCTCAGTACCTGCAAGAACCGAACGTCGGAGAGGGTCCTGGCGACGGGCCTCCGATGCCTAAGTCAACACTCGCTCCAAATCAAGAGTGCAAATTGAAAGTGTAGTTATTGTGATACCTTAGGTTCCTTTTACAGGGAAAGTGTACATTAGTGCCCAAGTTGGGCTTGACCAATATTATTATGCTTATGTGTCCTAGCCACGTGTAAGCTTATTCTCCAATATATTCCTTCTTACCCTTTAAAGTCGGTCTGGTATTAAAGTCGGTCCAGTATTATATCATATGCATCTAGTCTTCCCCCGACTCTGGTCGAGTGAGCATAACTTGATCCAAGAGTGAAATGCATCATCTGCTATTTTCGTCAATCTGCCACTTATAATTTGAAAACTCATAGACCACAAAATAGTCACCAAACCTCTAAATGAGCACCATGATCCAAATGAACATCTAATGACCACTGAGGTCGAACACAGAAAGACCTTCCTCTAAGGCCGACCATCGAAAGACTTGGCTCTGAGGTCGAACACCGAATTACACTTAGGTCGAACACCAAAAGACCTGCCTCTGAGGTCGAAAACTGAAAGATCTTTCTCTGAGGTCAAACATTAAAAGACCGGCCTCCGAGGTCAGACACCAAAAGACCACTACGGCAAAAACCAAAAGATCTGTCTCTAAGGTCGAATACCGAATGACCACTTAGGTCCAAAACTGAAAGACCTGCCTCTGAGGACAAACACCGAAAAGACCTGCCTCTAAGATCGAACACCGAATGACCTGACGTCGGATACATGCCGAACCTTGATTCGTAGAGTAGATTCCTTTGTTCCTCATTTTGCATTATCATCCCTCCTCTTATATCTTTCGACACGCTTACCTGGGTTTTCATTGACAAATTTTCTCGATCTCTCTCTGAAGTTTTAAATTTGAAAATTTGAACTCACATTTGCTATTTTTTGACCACCATGTTCGAGCTCTTTTCGCTCAAAGATAAGCCTTTTCGACCACCTATTTATGTCGTCCCTCAGTTCAAAATTTGAAATTTAACCCTGTTGTTTATCCTCTCGAAAACTGAATGTTTTGAAGCCACGCTGAGGTCAAAAACTGAATGACATGCCACTGGACCACTAAGGTCGAAAACTGAATGACCTGACACTACATTCATGTTGGAAACTGAATTCGACAAAATCAAATAAAACCATTGACCTGGATAACCTAACTCTGTGACCTGAATAAAACTACCTCGACCTACCACTAAGGTCAAAAAATAAACTCAACAAAACCGAATCAAGTAATAAACCATCGACCTGCCACTGAGGTCCTAGAATAATCTCCATGAACTGCTCCACATGAACTCCATCGACTTGCCTCTGAGGTCAAAAAATAAATTCGGCGAAATTAAAATCAAGTAATAAACCATCGACCTGCCACCGAGGTCAGCCAATAATCTCCATGGATTGCTCCACATGAACTCAAATGACCTGCCGCTGAGCTCGAAAAATAATTTCGGCAAAATCAAAATCAAGTAAAAAACCATTAACCTACCACCGAGGTCAGCCAATGATCTCCATGCATTGCTCCACATGAACTCCATCGACCTGCCACTGATGTTGAGAAATAACTTCGGCAATATAAAAATCAAGTAAAAAAACAATCGATCTATCACTGAGGTCAGTCAATAGTATCCATGAATTGCACCAAGTGAACTCCATCAACCTAACCTACCACTGAGGTCGAAAAAGAAATTCGACAAAACTATAATCATATAAAAATCATTGACCTGCCACCGTGGTCAGCTAATAATCTCCATAAATTGTACCAAATGAACTATGAATTAGGCCACTCATCCATAGAGCTTAACTGATTCATATGTGAGATTCTGAGGAGACCAATAATGATAGTGGTGTAGCTAATGTAGTGCGCTCGAACAATGCCAAAGTCAACCAATAGAAGGTTTTATATTGTAAATCAGTAGCGAATAATTACCAATAACGGGCAAAATAAGCTTGCACACATCCAAGAATGGCTTCATGAGCATCACCCCATCTTCGTGAGCAGGGCTAAACACAGTCCCTTCCATTTTGCACTAAACAGAACTCATCAAACAACAACATTTCAACATAAATATATATATATATATATAAGAAAATGGAAATACCCTGTTTATAAATCATATACATTTATGAAATCACTTTGCCTTAATATTTTTCAGCTGTACAAAATTGTGCCAAAGATGTGACAAAACCAAAATCATGTAAAATAAACAAATATATTTATTCAATTATGTCTAACCTCGAAAAAAAAAAATCATAACAAATAAGACAATTTCTATATAATTAAAAGCATTGAACGTTACAAAAAAGTGCAACATCAATACCGAATTAGTTAGTATACGTTGGAGAAAAAAAATAAATTTTAAATAGACATGTTTTACGTAATTTTGCATAATTTAAATTTCATATAACATTTTCAACAAACTAATATAGGTACATTGTATTACATATTATTCTATATTTTTAATTTATAAATATTATTTAATGAACATTTGTAATTTATAAATATTAATGAATATTTTTTTTCCGTGCATCGCACGAATTTGTACTAGTTAGTTAGTATACGTTGGAGAAAAAAATAAATACTATTAGTTTATTATATTCGTATTTGTACTTTATTAAATTTATAAACTTTTTAAAATTGTATATAATATCAAAGATGACCATAAAGAGTGACATTAATTGTAAACGATCATATTCTAGTGTCAAACTATTTAAATATATTTAAAATATATGAGTTAAAATATAAATAGCTAATTGCTTGAATTGACCATATACATATAAATTATTGACACAAATATTCAACTGAAGAAGAATTTTGCAAAGTTACAATACAATTTGAAAATAACTTTGAATAGTTTGATACCAAATTCATGAAGTTTGAATTAATATTTGTTTCAAATATATTTTTGTTTATACTAAGATAGAAATCATGTAGCAGTACTCAATGACATTGGTTTCCAATGTCATATGATATGGGTCACAAAACTATTAAATTAATATGATTAAATAGTTATCATTTGACAAGTCACAGGTAACATATGAATCTCATTTCAAATAATTTAAAAATGTAATTTCAAATAGGTGGACAATTTAATATATAATTTTTTTTAAACTTATATAGAAAATAAAGTTTTAAATATAAGTATAAATATACTAATTGACTATTGAATTAAGATATGTTTTATATTCATTTTTTAAACTTTATGATATATATTTATTAATGTATGTGGAGTAGTGTTGTACTAGGGCAAAATCACTTTTAGTCCACTATGTTGGTCATTTTCCGAAAAACGTCTATCATATAAGGTGTCTTCATAAAAGGTCTACGATGTTGTCATTTAGTCAAATTTCAAACAATTTTTGGGATGAATCAGTTGGGATCAATGAAGATCTAGTTATGCAAAAATCACGAATTCAATAGCAAAACGTAAACCTATGCGCAACGGATCTGAAGGTTTGTGTAGAGAACTTACGGCTTAAAATTTATGGGCGATCTGGCTGATCTTCTGGATGGTCGTACACAGCAAACCAATGAATTGTTGACTGCAAATCGCGTCCTAGGATTGCACGAACAAGATCGGACCAAAAACCGGATCAAACGAGTGCAAAACGGATGAAGACAAGTTGCAGTCCTGGGACCTTGCGGCGGCGCGTGCAGGCGCGTGGGTGGTCGGACGGTTGCGACGGCGTTAGAAAGCTCTCGTCGAGACGGTCGTCTGGGTATGCTGCACGTCTCGATCGGACCTCCGGTTAGTTCTGTACGACCAAACATATTTCGTCTCACTTTATCCAAAGGTCTTCTATTGTATATCTCAAACACCTCATAATCTTGTACCAGTGGAACAACAAGAAGAAGATAAAGCTCGAATGGGAACTGAGAGAGAAGAGAGGCGTGGGGCGTGATATCCAAGATGTGGAATTCTCTTCTCTTCCAATGAGTTTAATGATGTATATATAGAGCTACAGTAGAGATCCTTAGGAAATTAGGATTAGGGCTCCTTAATTAATTAAAATACTTGTGGACCAAGCCACTTATTTTAATTAATTAAATAATATTAAATGAGTCACCAACATAATATTATTGCAGTCACTTTTTCTAGCCCAATTTACAATTGAGACTCCAATAATTATTACTCGATTTATCTCCACATGTTTAAGATATAATGTCCATTAATTAATTCGATTACTCACAATCAAGAATTAATTAATTTAT